TTGTTTATTTATAGTTATTTTCAAAGCTTCAATGTACTGTCATTATAAAATAACTTTAACATTATACGTTAACTTTAACATTATTTAACGTTATTTATAACATTATAAATAAGTTATTGTTAAAAACTAACCAAAATGTAAAATATTTTGCTTATAATTTCTGCACAGGAGAGACTTGGTGTTGTTTCCAAACTACATTTTGGTATCGGCCAAAATGAGTTGAAAAATATCGGCATATCGGATATCGGCAAAAATTCAATATCGTGCATCCCTAATTATAGGCAAAACACACTGAGCCCATTTCTGCTGCAGCCTTTATGATAAAACATCTGCTAGTCAGACGTTTGGTCGTGAAGGCCACTGAGAGAGATTGACAGAATATGACAGTTCATTGCATACACATTTAGTATTATGTGAACGTTAAAAGTTTCACTTGTCTCATATGGGAATTCAGATGTGTCAAAATCAGTCCCGAAGACAATTCATACATAGTATGTGTGACTTAAGTGTCCAGATACTTTTTTGGGCCACTGTATATTTTTCTAACAGTATGTGCAATACAAAACATTTGGGCTCAGTAAGATCCATAAATATATATATTTTTTTTTTATGTTCACCAAAGCTGCATTTATTTGATCAAAAATACAGTAAAAGCAGTTATATCGTGGAATATTATTCAAATTTAAAAGATCCGTTTTCTATTTTTAAAATGTAATTTATTCCTGTGATGGCAAAACTGAATTTTCAGCAGTCCTCAGGATTCTTTGATGAATAGGTTAAAAAAAACAGCATTTATTTGAAATATAAATCTTTTAAAACTAATTATAAACGAAGTAGAGACTGTCTTTACTGTCAATTACATGTGTCCTTGTTGAAAAAAAATTCAATTTTCTTGAAAAAAATAAACTAAAATGTCCAGATACTTTTTTGGGCCACTGTATATTTTTCTAAGCCAACAGTATGTGCAATACAAAACATTTGGGCTCAGTAAGATCCATAAATATAAATATATTTTTTTTATGTTCACCAAAGCTGCATTTATTTGATCAAAAATACAGTAAAAGCAGTTATATTGTGGAATATTATTCAAATTTAAAAGATCCGTTTTCTATTTTTAAAATGTAATTTATTCCTGTGATGGCAAAACTGAATTTTCAGCAGTCCTCAGGATTCTTTGATGAATAGAAGGTTAAAAAAACAGCATTTATTTGAAATATAAATCTTTTAAAACTAATTATAAACGAAGTAGAGACTGTCTTTACTGTCAATTACATGTGTCCTTGTTGAAAAAAAATTCAATTTTCTTGAAAAAAATAAACTAAAATGTTGACACCACACTTCTGAACGGTATAATGTTGTTGTTGTTGTTTTTTCCCCATGATCAAAGGTCAACCATCCAATGTTCATGGAACTGAATCGAGAGCTGGGGGCTGTTTCATAAAACAAGTTTACCAAATAAGCCAGGTTTATTTCAGTTTGGATGCTTTCACACTTGGTTCGCTTGCCTGGTCCGAACCAGAGTTCGATTGCTCCCTCCCCCTGCCCCCGCTGAAATGCATAACATTGCGCTCTGCGCTTTTATATGTACGTTTTTGAACCGTTCGTTTTGTTTACAAAGCTTCGGTACATAACGGCACTTACATCTGTCTTACGAATGTACTGCAAATGCTCTAAAGAACGCTGAAGGCGAACAGAAATTAGATGTACAGCTCTCTGTTTGCAGCACGTCAGTCACGCTCGTCAGGAAAGTGAGTGAAACGCACACACAAACACATTTTTATCAAATAATACGTTATTAATAGCGGTTCACTTCCGCGATTTGGTACGATTGCGTTCACATCAGCAGCGAACCGTACCGGAGTTCACATGAACCGTACCCCAGACCACCCTTTTTAAGCGGACTCGGGTACGGGTCGTGAAGGCCACTGAGAGAGATTGACAGAATATGACAGTTCATTGCATACACATTTAGTATTATGTGAACGTTAAAAGTTTCACTTGTCTCATATGGGAATTCAGATGTGTCAAAATCAGTCCCGAAGACAATTCATACATAGTATGTGTGACTTAAGTGTCCAGATACTTTTTTGGGCCACTGTATATTTTTCTAAGCCAACAGTATGTGCAATACAAAACATTTGGGCTCAGTAAGATCCATAAATATAAATATATTTTTTTTATGTTCACCAAAGCTGCATTTATTTGATCAAAAATACAGTAAAAGCAGTTATATTGTGGAATATTATTCAAATTTAAAAGATCCGTTTTCTATTTTTAAAATGTAATTTATTCCTGTGATGGCAAAACTGAATTTTCAGCAGTCCTCAGGATTCTTTGATGAATAGGTTAAAAAAAACAGCATTTATTTGAAATATAAATCTTTTAAAACTAATTATAAACGAAGTAGAGACTGTCTTTACTGTCAATTACATGTGTCCTTGTTGAAAAAAAATTCAATTTTCTTGAAAAAAATAAACTAAAATGTTGACACCAC